AGCGTCTACATAACCTTGTCTCACATAATCAATTAATTAACATTAAAGGTGCTCAAACAATAATATCAATTAAAGATTAGATAAAGAACAATGAATGAAACTAAAATTGCATTGGATTGATTAAACAAATAGAATTAATAAAGACATCAAACCTTCATATTAGGCTACATTGGATCCCTAAAAAAGAATTTAATGACACATAAACATAGAGAAATCAAACCTCAAACCCTTCAAAAACATGAAGTACAAGAGAAAAGATGAAAAACCTAGGTAAGATCTCCTTTGCTCAAAGTTGAAGCCTCTCCTTCTTCAAAAATACCTAAAGACATCATTTTATAATGCTAGGGTATTGGGAAAGTAATGGGAAAAATCTTGTACAAAATAGGAGAATAAAATTTGGATTAAGCTTAGGTGGAATTCTTTTAAAAATAGGATTCCCGCGCCATGTTGCAGAGCCAAAAATTCCATGTTGCCGCATTGACTATTTCATGAAGTTTGCACTTCAGACCTGACAGCTCGTGCTGCAACACCAGAAAGTTCATGCTGCGACGCCAAAAGATCCTCAATTTTGAACATGAAAACGGCAGAATCTGAAGAATTCATAAACATATAACTGTAGCCATTTGAGTCAGATTTCCAATGATCCAAGAATCTTCCCAATACAAGGTCTACAACTCAAGTTATCGTGGAAATACTGAAGCATGCTCAAAACTCAAGCATTTTCTAGATTTTGTATGTCATGCTAAATACGTCATAACTTCCTCGTTTCAACTCCCTGATTCTTGAATCGTTTGTTTCTAGTCATTACAAACTCTCTCGCCAACATTATTCTTCATTCGAATATTATTTTTAAGCATTTATACCCTAAAAGACACAACAAAATACCGTGATCCCGAAAAATACATTTATGAAATAATTAAGTTAATTTATGCAAATTAACCCTAATTTTCCACAAACAATACTTATAAACCACTAAGTATATGTATATTTTCAAGCACTTATCAGCTTAATACGCCCTTATTGTCATTAGATAAAATTTATGATTACATCCATTATATTTATATATTTATAAAAGTCAATTTTACCCTTCCATTATATATATATATATTATCATAATATATTATATATAATATATAATATATATATATATATATATATATTATATATTCTACTCTAGTCTATTGTAAAGTCAATTTTACCCTTTTATACAACTTACCAAATTAAAAGCAAAAATTCTTCTATTTCCCAGTTTCCTAAAAAAATAAATTCTTTCTTTTCCATTACATTTCCTAGGAAATTGTCTAAGATTTTTTTTTTTTTTTTCTCTTTAACTTCTTTTCCGTTAGAAATTAATGTTAATTTTTACAACATTACTATTAAATTAGGGAATGTTATTACAATATATTTCACATTCTACCCTGTGTATTTTGAAACTAAATGCACTGTCAAGTTGACACTTTTCCTCACACAACACCCCTATACTATCAAAATATTATGCTAAAACTACCCTGCCATTAATTCCATCAATTTTTTTTGCTAAAGGAAGAAGGTAATTTACCTTTTTACCCTAATTCCCTTGCAAATTAAAACTTAGTTCCCTAACATTTATTAACACATCACTTTAAATTAAAAACAAAATAATAACTAATAAAATTTTTAAGTTTTAAATAATACAAACCTAAACTTAAAATCACGTAAATTTTGCTAAAAAAGAATTAGAAAAAATCACATAAATTTAAATAACAGACGCTTGGGCCGGTTTCGTCAACCCGTTTCTTGTTTCTCCTTGGGCTCCCTTTTGCAATTCTCGGCTGATGGGCAGGCTGTGTGGTCTTTTGCTCGGAAGGTTTGTGGGCCATCTCCATGGGCTGTTGAGTGGGCGGGTAGATTATCTTTTATTTTTATTTTGCTTGGACTCTTGCTAGCGACTGTGCACAGGTCCGTTTTTGGGCAATACGGTCTTGTATAAATATTTTTTTGCTTTTTGTTAAGGCCTGTCTTTTAATTGGGCTTGTATGTAGAGGATTGTATATCCTTTTAGTCCTTGGCCTCTTTGATTAGCTTTCCCTTGGGCATGTCCAAGGTGTTAGCGAAAAAGAGAGTTCACTCTCCTCCCTGTGTTTCTTTATTCTTTTTTCCAATGCAATTGTCGGGATTACCCAAAAAAAAAAAAAAAAAAAAAAAAAAAAAAAAATTAGAGATAGATAGTCGTAAAATTCCATAAAGCTTATGAGTCGAAGACTATAAACTTCATTAATTGGTTCAAAAGTGTAATAGGAAGGGTGATGCTATATAACTTGAGAATGAGTATTTAACAATTTAGGAAATTTGGTCATCAATCAGGAAGATAGGGTTGAATTAATAGATTTATAATTTTTATCTTATAAGTTATATCTTATAAGTTGTATCGGGATATCTAGGTAAATCGGATGCTCTAGTGTTTTCTTTTTATTGAACCAATTTAGATTGTTAGACTTTAGCGATAGTTGATTTTCTGCTTTATTTTTGTGTTAATTTCTTAACTTTTAATTTTGTTAGTTTTCAATCATTCACGTTATTCAATTAAGGTTAAAACTAGTAATTTTAATAGTAAATAAGTAACTTTACTCATGACATTGACACTTTATTTATCACTATATGTTTGATCATTTAGTGCGTTTGTTAAGTCTTTGCACGTCGGTATGTAATATTTATACAAAGGCTCAATAGTGTTATGTACTAATATGTAGTATTTTTCTACAAATTTATATGAGAAAAGCGGCTAGCATAAGGCAAAATATTTTTTACTTCATCAATTCCAAAGCAGCATAAATATTCTCTTACAAAAGAGAAGAGTTATGCAAATTAGGGAAAAACACTTTTAGTTGTTTTGTGCATTCCGTTTTCTATGCCCTGAGAGAAATCAACATTTTAAGAAAACAAAGCCGAATTTAGTTAGTGAAAAAGTTCTTCGCACTAATAGTAAATTCTGTGGAGTTGTTTCAAATTCAACTAGAATGCTTACATGAGTTATTTATTTTATTTTAATTATGAATTAGTATTATAATTTGTTATTGACTTATTTTGTCTTATATTATACCAATATTTAGTAATCTTTTTTCTTAAAGTGTATTTAAAATATTAATTTCTATATTATAGAAATGAATAGTAAACTTAAACATATTTAAACTTCAATTTGACTGTAAATTTAAATAAATGAACTTTGGAATTTGACAGCTGTGGGTTTGAACCCACGCCCTTTCGGACCAGAGCCTAAATCTGGCGCCTTAGACCACTCGGCCAAACTGTCAAGTTATGTTGTTCAGTAATTTAATCTATAATTATAATATTTCTACAGTTCAATCATGATAATCAACGAAAAAGTAAAAAATGTCTGAAATTATCTATTTCTTTCTTCGCAGGCTCTTATTTAGGATTAGATTCAAATTGGCGGTGCGCCCTTTTCTACCGACACTAGTCACACTACAGCCCTAGACTTGTATTTTGCTTTTATTTTTTAATGGCTTCTCACGTGACTGCTTTATCTGCTGCATGTGATTTTGTGAGTGCATGATAGCAAGCATATCACTAAATTCACAATTTTTCTGTAAAATAAGTCTACCATGATCATCTTAAATGGCTTAAGCATTCTGCCACTAACTACACATCTTTTTAGCAGCACCAAAATTTTAAATTGAAATCTAAATCCAAATCATCAAATTATCTTCTCACAGAACTAAAGCTGACATTTTAATCATCAACCTTGTTTAGTCCAAAACTCAAAAAAAATTAAAAAAAGTGACTGCAATTCAAATTACTTTGGTTTGAAATCAAGTAAGTATTGATTAGTAGATATATCTAATAGCTAGTAGGTTCCCAATTGCAAAGAGCCAGAGTACCCAGAAAGAGACACTTAAAAAAAGGTTGCCCAGCTACCATTCATACAAGTAACATATACATCCAACATTTAAGAAAAAAAAAGAAATCAACTTTTCACAGAAAAAATTTATACTCATGCTTTAATTTCTTTTTTGTACTGTATCAGATTTCAGGATTTCACTAACAGTTGCAATTTTATTACTTAACTTACAGCTAATATCGATCTTTGAGATCACAATCAATCCATCAATAAACTCCTAATAATGCAAATGGTGGGACCTCTATATGTATATATGTATCCTTCATCACCCATCTGGCTTTCCGGCATAGCATGTGGAGCCTTCTACTTCTCATAAGTCAATGATTCATGCATTCACTCCATCAAACGGTTACTATTCCATCTTACCCTTTGTCAAGTTTTTCATCTTGGCAACAGGGAAGACTGAAGATGATTTATATTTTTTTATCTCATCACCTTGGTGACTGTGACTGGCATGTTGGTCATGTTTATATTATAATCAACAAAAGCAGGGTCATTTACACTGCCCTATGACTGAGGTAAATGTTTCTGTTTCGTATAAAACCATTGAAGTTGCTGCATAAAAGTAAAACAAAGAAACAGAGAAAGACAAAATTGATTAGGGACTTTAATTACTTTCGATAATTAAAGTTAAAGCGATTGTTGGTTAGTTTAATCCTGTTGTTATTGATACTAGTGAACATTGAGCTTAAATCTACAACAGGTCGCTGTTCCCGACCGCCGAATCCAGTTCAAATCCAATAACTTTCTGGTTATTGTATGGCCAATCAAAATCACTCACATTTATTCATGCTACACAGGGTCCCCACTTCCAGTTTTATTCTGCTAAAACCAATTGGAGGGCAGCCTGGCTCAAGCTTTCACTTCTAACATGCCCCATGTTCTCTTGCTTCCCAAAATGCCATCTTGGCTTTGTAACTTCATAATTGACCTTGATGCAATTTATTTTAAATTAAATATATCAATTGTCAGTATTTCTTAATTGGGTTAAAATAATGTCAATTTGGTTGCCAGTTATACCCTTCATATGAACAATCCTTTTTCAAACACTATAGTATTTAATGAACTTCATCTTCTCAGATTTCCAGCTGAGAAAGCTCATTATTTTCTTTATTATTTTCTGCATCTAAAATTAGAGAGAATGGTCTCTTCCATGGCCACTCTTCTCTTCATTGCAGCTCTAATGGCTGCTTCTTATTCTTCATTTGTAGCCGCTGAATCAAAAGGATCTTTTCAAGATAACTTCAGTATAATGTGGTCTGAAGATCATTTTAAAACCTCTGAAGATGGGCAGATCTGGTACCTCTCTTTGGACAAAGAAACAGGTACACAGACTTAATGTTCATGACAAATATAATACCAATTAATTGATATTCTGGGTTCTTAATGCTTAATGCTTTATTTTTTTTTTCACCTTGCTTCGTATTGAAGCTTTTGTTTACATTGATAGCAGTGCGTTAATACTAATTTCTTGAAGCAAATTTGAATAGGTTGTGGGTTTCAAACCAAGCAGAAATACAGATTCGGGTGGTTTAGCATGAAACTCAAGTTGGTTGGAGGTGACTCAGCCGGTGTAGTCACTGCTTATTATGTAAGCTCTTGATTATATACACAATTCATATGTCTAAATTTCATTTAATTCAAGCCATTTGCGAGAGGAATCTTTAAGATTAAAAATGTTGCAGATGTGCACAGAAAATGGGGCTGGGCCAACAAGAGATGAGTTGGATTTTGAGTTTTTGGGGAATAGAACCGGGCAGCCCTATCTTATTCAAACAAACGTTTACAAGAATGGAACTGGTGGACGTGAGATGAGGCACATGCTTTGGTTTGACCCCACTGAGGACTTCCATACCTATTCCATCCTCTGGAACAACCACCAGATTGTGTAAGAAACTTTAGAGAAATTAAAAACCAAAATCATTTTCACAAACACATTGAATTGAATCTTCCACTAAATTAAGTATGCAAAATGCAGGTTTTTTGTGGACAGGGTTCCGGTGAGGGTGTTAAAAAACAATGGTGAAGAAAATAATTTCTTCCCTAATGAGAAGCCAATGTACTTGTTCTCCAGCATATGGAACGCGGATGATTGGGCAACGCGCGGTGGATTGGAGAAGACAGATTGGAAAAGGGCTCCATTTGTATCAACTTACAAAGATTTCAGCGTTGATGGATGCCAATGGGAAGATCCATATCCTAAATGTGTATCAACCACCACTAAGAAATGGTGGGATCAATACGAAGCTTGGCATCTCTCAGATTCTCAGAAAATGGACTATGCTTGGGTTCAGAGAAACCTTGTTATTTATGATTATTGTAAGGACACTGAAAGGTACCCAACATTGCCTGTTGAGTGTTCATTGAGTCCATGGGATTGATGAACCAGAGAATTATTTGATTTTTTCTTTCTTTTCTTTAGTTTCAATTTTGTGCTGAGTACAAAGATGTGTATTAAATTCTTTGGCTATTATTGTACTTCATTAGTCAATATCTATTTAATTTTATTATATTATTTTAGTTTGAATCGAGCTTATGCCACTTGCAAATATTCCCAGCTTGGCTCACTTTGTTTTGTTCAAAATCAAAGTATTGAACCCTTACTAACGTGAATTTCAGCCTTCCAATAACTATCTCCTTCACCGATATTCCAAAATGTGACGGTGCTATTTTTAAATCAACAAATGATGGACAATAGAGTCCATTTGCATCCATAAGTTCAAGGATTATTGTTCAAACTCCTACACTTTATCATAAATTCATTTTGGATATAGGATACTATATAAACATGATTAATATTACACATACAACTGTCAGAATATGAGCAACAAGATGCAAAAGAGACAACTAAGTTGCCGAAGAATGCAAGAAAGGGATAGAATGTAAGAAGACTTTTCTGTATATTTGTACTGTATATATTGTGCTTTACAAAGTATTCAATTTATACAAAAAATGTAAGAATGAAATAAGGAATGTAATCAATAGTGTAATTACAGAATAATCTTAATAAAGTAATTGCTGAAGTTACTCATGGATATCTTGTAACGCCCCACTTGAGGTACGTAGTTAAGATTTGTTGTATTACTTAAATGTTCATTGATCCAGCTTCAATTGAGTTTGTATGTTGTTATTTTTGGTTGGTTGGTTTTTGGTTGAAATGGTATGTTGAGTTGGGTGAGTGTTTGCCTTGAACTTGGTTGAGATTTGAGGAATCTTGGTATTACAGTCTTCGCCGCGGTGACGTCAGCTCTGTGTTGCGATGTCGGTTCTGTAATTTTTCGCTGGGGCGACAGAACTTTCTTCGCCGCGGCGACGGGACGACATAAAAGTTTTTTTGAGGTTTCTAGAGAATTCTCCATAGGACGAAAATACTATTCTACCCCTAATTTGTAGGAAAAGTGGGGAGTAAAATGTAAGGAAATTTAGTAGAGAATGTGTTGGAGTTGGGGGTGTGTTTGTAATGAATCAAAACACAAAGATGGAATTTTCAAGGAAGAGCAAGGGCAAAATGGGAAAGAGTGGTTATAATATGAGCTAAATAAGGGATTAGTTTAGTAAACCCTTCATTTCACCCATTTCCACCGCCGTACCCATTCTCTAATTTCTCTCAATCCTCCATTTAATCTTCCAAGACTTTATAAGGAGTTTTGGGGAGCTTTTGGGTAGTTTTAGTAGAGATTTCATCTAAAGCATCCTAAGGTAAGGATTCTTGCTTTAGATGTAAATTTGTTTATAGTTGTATTGAAGTCTTATATTGTTGTTATTGTTGTTTAAAGTTGTAGAGACAAGACAAGACAACAAGGGGAAGGAAAAGTGCTAGAGAAGTTATTTACCCATAAAGTAAGTAAATCCAACCCAAGTTAAGAGTTAAGAACTCTACTGAGTAGAGAATTATGTGTGTATGTGTATGTATCATGTTTATTGAAAAATTGTGATGAGATGGATGGTTATTTATATTTATTGTTGAATATAATTGAGTTATGAGAAGAGTTGAGATTTTATGAGGGAGTTTCTCCCATTTTGGGATGATTAAAGAGGGGAACATGAGTTGTATGATGAAATGCTTGAGTAAGACATGAGTAAGAGTAGAGAACCTTAATTATTGCTACATGGCATAATTGCATTTCATGAGTGCATTAATGAGCATGAGTCATTCATATGCATTAATTGCATTAGAGAAAGAGAGTAGAGAAAGAGTAGAGAACTTTGAGTGTGAGCTTCATTAAAAGAAAAGAGAGAAAAAGAGAATATAGTAGGTTGTGCGATGGAGAACCCGTGAGTAATGGGTAGAGTATTCCCGTATGTACGCCGCAAAGAGAGAGAGAGCGGCTTGAGTATGAGAGAGAAAAGTGGTGTAGCCCATGAGAGTACATGCAGATGAGGGCTATACCCGAGAGTACCCGAGAGAGAGTTTATACACTCACATGGCCAAGGGTTCCGAATCCATGCATAACCGAGTCTGATCGGCTAGAATGAGCAGAAGTCATGGAGAGCGGGAGCGAGTCCCGGCCATGCCTCCGGTAAGATGAGGCCATGACTTACAAAAGAGAGTTAGTAGAAAATAGTTATGAGAAAGGGAAAATAGAGAGAAGTATAAGAGAGAGAGAGTCAATGAGAATTGTAAGGAAAGAATTAGAGAGAGTTACGGGGTTAGATGAGTAGGGGATTTACTTACTGAGCATTGTTTTAGTGCTCACCCCGTTATTTCCTATGTTTTTGCAGGATCTAGGTGAGGACACAGTCGGATGGGCGTCAGCAAGCAAGGGGAAATGGCTACACTATCCACCTTGTTTTTGATAGTTTTGTACATGATACGAATTTTGTATAATGAATGTATATGTTTAAATAAAAGAAAAATTTGGGCCCAGCTTTTTATGCTATCTTACATGTATTTTCACTATGTATATTTTAAAAGAATATGAGTAGAATGGAGTTATTACATATCTTGTAATCTGCTTGATTTCAGGATGCATAATTCCAGTAGTCAATATGATTTCCTTTCCATATTGCATCACTCCCCCTCAAGCTGGTGGTTTGTAGATGTCAAAAACTTCAAGTCTGTGAAGCAAATATGAATGTTGTCGACTACACAATGGCTTCGTAAAAATGTCTGTTGGTTGCTCTGAAGTTCGGATATGCTTTGTCTTGATAACTCCTTCTTGAATTTTGTCTCGGATAAAGTGACAGTTGATTTCAATATGCTTTGTCCTTTCATGGAATACAGGATTTGCTGCAATATCATTGGCAACTTTGTTGTCATAGTGTAGGCTGACAAGTTATTTTGTTTGTATCTCCAAATCCTTTAGTAATCCAAGAATCCAAACAATCTCACATATGGTTTTTGCCATAGCTCTGTATTCGGCCTCTGCTAAAGATAATGATACTATTGACTACCTGTTTGTCTTCCAGGAAATCAAGGATCCCCCAAGTTTTATATAGTAGCCAATGAGTGATTTCCTAGTCATTGGACATGTGCCCCAGTCTGAATCACAAAAGGCTGTTATTTCTAAGTTTCCATCTCTTGGTAGAAGAAGGCCTAAACCTAGACAACCTTTCAGATATTTAAGTACATTTGTTGCTGCCTCCATATGAGATTCCTTTGGTCCATGCATGAATTGGCTTAGGATGTGAACAACATAACTTATGTCTGGTTGCGTCATGGTGAGATATATCAATCTTCCCACAAGTCTTTGATAGATGGTTGGATCCTTTAATGTAGGATCAATTTCTGAGGATGGCACTTCTTTTCATATTGTTGGCTTGTGAGTTTAGTGTTCTAGAATCATGCTTGGTTTACATGCAGATAATCCAGAATCTAATACGAGCTCATGAACATACTTTCTCTGGCTGAGGGATATGCCAGCGGGAGACCTCACAATCTCAATTCCTAAGAAATATTTAGGCTCTCCTAGATCTTTTATGCGGAAGTGTTTGTTGAGGTGTTTCTTTAGGGCTTGAATGGCGGGTTCATCATTCCCTGTGATAAGGATGTCATCCACATAAATGATTAAAATAATAAATGAGGTACCTTTACGCCATGTGAAAAAGGCATAGTCATTTTTTGATTGTACAAATCCAATGTCTGTAAATGCTTCTGTAATTTTTGCATTCCATTGATGAGACATTTACTTTAAACCATAGAGGGAATTTCACAGCCGACATACGATATTCTCCCTTTGGCTGCGAAGTCCTGGTGGGAGATCCATGTAAATTTCCTCATGAAGATCGCCATGGAGGAAGGCATTATGAACATCCATCTGATGAAGCGACCAATCTCGAATAGTAGCAATAGATAAGAAAGCTCGAATAATCACATGTTTAGCAACAGGGGAAAAGGTTTCTTGGTAGTCGAACCTTTCCTGCTGAGTAAAACCCTTGGCAACAAGGCGGGCTTTGTAATGTTCAATGGAACCATCAGCTTGGTGCTTAATCTTGTAAACCCATTTACATCCAATAGGTTTCCGATGAAGCGGCCGAGGGACAATTTCCCAAGTATTATTCTAGGTTAGTGCATGGAGTTCATCTGCCATAGCCTGTCACCATTGAGCATGAGGAACAACATCTGAATAGTAAGAAGGTTCCTGATTGGTAAAGATCTGACTGATACAGATCCTGTGGGTAGTAGAGAGACGATCATAGCTAACATAATTAGAAGCAGGATAAGGAGTACTTGAGGCATTCTGAACAGTAGGGCAGACATAGTCAACTTTCCAAAGGGGTGGTCGTGTGGACCATGTGGATCGACATGGGGCCGGTTCTGGCTGATGTTCACGACTATTTGTAAGATCAAGAGGCGAGTCTGTCAATGGAGCAAACTCTGTTGAAGGAACAAGAGTAGAGTCTGTAGTTGTTGTAGAGGAACCCAAATCAAATGTGGGATTTATAGTGAAAAATGATCCCGATGGAGACAAATCATATTCTAGGAAAGAAGGTGTCTGATGGGGAGCAATACTAGATAGACTAGTAGTATCCAAAAAAGGAAAGTTACTTTTATGAAAAACCACATATCTCGAAATCATGAATTTGTTCTCTATTGGATTGTATAGGCAATACCCTTTCTGATGCATAAGATATCCCATAAAAACACATCAAGTGGTACAAGGACCAAACTTGTTGTGGGTCCCCAAATGAGTAGCATAAATAAACAACCAAAACCTCTGAGATGATCAATGTTTGGGAGTTTACCAAATAGAAGTTCATAGGGTGTCTTACCATTAAGAACTTTGGTGGGCATCCGATTGATTAGGCAAGTAGCAGTGACCACACATTTGCCCCAAAAGGAAAAAGGGATGTTGGCTTGGTGTTTGAGAGCCCAGACTACTTCTAAGAGATGTTTGTGTTTTCGTTCAACTATGCCGTTTTGCTGAGGTGTATAGACACATGAACTTTGATGAATAATGCCAAG